TTGACCAAAAATGGTATGACCCCTGTTCCTCGCCCTCCATACTCACCTGACCTTGCCCTGTGCGACTTTTTTTTTTGTTTCCTCGAATGAAAAGAGACATGAAAGGAAAGCGTTTTGCTGATGTTGCTGAGGTGAAGGAGAAAACGACGGAGGCCCTGTCAAGCATCATCTAAGATGAACTTAGACAATGTTTTGAAAAATGGAATAAAAGACTAGACAAGTGTATTAGTGTAAGTGGAGAGTACTTTGAAGGGGATTGAAGGTTTGTGCTTAAAATTTGAATAAATAAGTTTAAAAAAAAAGTTCGGTTTCTTTTGGGTACCCCCTTGTATGACGGCTTGCCTACCATTTAAACATGCAAAGAAAGAGTGGGAAGTGGTGAACGTGCAATTATGGTTTTGGTTCCTGTACACTAGCAGGTTGTGAGTTCTAGTCCTGATGAGGTCATTGGATTCTTTCAATTGACCTAATCCTTCCAGCCGCACTATGGCCCTGGGGTCGACTCAGCCTCTAACAGAAATGAGTACCAGCAATTTTCCTGTGGAGTAAAGCGCGGCCAGCACGTAAGGCTGACAACCTTACCGCCATCTTCGAGCCGATTGTCTAGATAATGTGGGACCCTCAATGTCTCACAACCCTATGGGCCTTCACAGCCTGTTACAGGGATAGCTTTACTTTTTTTTTACTTACACTAAGATAGGGAGAGTTAACCGAAGCTACCATTCCAATTAAACCTAACTCAAAAAAGAAGAAAAAAGCACATGTATGGCATTCAGAACCCCTATGGAACATGGCATAGGGAAACTCTACCTAATATGTCCTTTTGACATGAGAAACCTAATTTTATGCAGTGATTCAACTTCACAGAATCATACAGTGTTAAAGCATCACCTTTGCTTGCAGTCGGCTGACTAAGGCTGCTTGATGTTGTTGCGCTTGTCGGTATGTCTCCAACCTACGCTTATAACTTGCTGCTTCATCTTCCAGTCTCCGTCGCAAGTCCTGATTCTGTCGAAGAAGGGCATCTGGAGCCACATCTTCTATGGTGCCACTAACAGCTGACCTGCTAGGTTCCATCCTCCCTCCACTGGTCTGTACAAAATAATAATTCAGTATTGGGTTCCACAGCTGCTTGCACTACAGTGATTCACTACAACTCGAACACCCAACACCATATTTTTCTATCACTTCGAATTTGCATGAGAAAAGTCTGGAGTCCATTCTCGGGAAAGCAATTTTATTTACAGGAATGATTATAGTGTTCATTATCCTTATTAGGATGATCAAATCAAAGACATGTGATGTCCAGGTCATATACTACACATAGAAGACAACATCTCAGTTTCAGAACATAAGAGGAAAAGACAGGGGTACACAAGTGGATAACTGAACAGTGCTAAAGAAACACAATGTACCGATATTGTATGGATTAATCAGGCTCAGGACAGAGCCCGGTGATGAGATTCTTTTGAACACCGTAATCATATTTCGGGTTCCACAAGCAGTGTGGCATTTGTTGACTGAGAGAATGTCAGCTTTTCAGACTGTCTCTGGTCCGTCGTGTTACATTCTCAACCTTCTGGCTGAATTCGTTTCAGGTTTTAGCCAACCTATACTTATATTTCAAATAGCACATTGCGACACTAAAATTCACAGCTACGTATTCATTGTTTGATTACGACGCTACGTCTAATATGCACAGTGTTAAAAAGAAACATTACATTATGGCTTATGGAAAATTTAACTACTATACACGTCTTGTTTACATATACAAAACATAAAAACTAATACTGCCGCCATATTTTTAAGACTGTCATCGATTGTTATACGGGGCATGCAGTTTGATATTTTCAAAGAGATGGCAGGAACATTCATTCCATGTTTAGTTTCAGCTGCTTTCTGAGGATTCTGAGCGATTCGATTTTGAGAGTATCGTTCATGACGTCATATCTCGCAAGCATCCATGTTGTTCATGTAACCGCCAGGGTCAAATTCGGCCAGCCACGAAAATCTTCAGTTCATCCACAATTTTAACACAAAACTAGCAGTCAAATAATTGACAAGCTCGATCTTCTAGCTTTTAATGCCGTGTAGTTCGGTAGAAGGAACGTAATCGGCTTCATCTTCAGGATCTTCAGCTTGCCGACAGCTTATTTATGGATTCCTTTTTGGATACTCCTAGTCCCTGAAGATGAAGGAGACGCATTCCACCGAAACGACAGTGGACTTCTATCGAATTATACAGAGTAACAAACCAGAATATCGTATACTTCAAAGCCGCTGCAAAGATAACCTTACATCAAATAATTACTCTTTATTGCTTAAAAACGGGCCGTTCTCAACACACCTCTAATGACATGAAACTGAGGTAATCTGCTTTTCTTAATTTTCCCGGTACTCCCTCTCTCTTCGGCCCAAATACTCTCCTCGGCATCCAGTTTCCAACTAACTTCATTTAAGTTTCTCCGCTAGGGTGAGAGGCCAAAGTTCTCACACGTTTATACAATATACAGAGCTTATAGAATAACAGATGAAAATCATAATTCACAAATATTCGAACACTCTCCGAGCATAATTTACCATCCTTTAGCCTAATTGAATATTTTGTTAGGGNTCATGGAGGTAGGCCTAGGCCCACTAGGGCTGTAGTGCCAAGGGGGGAAAAAACTTATTTTAAGCATTTGTAATATGTATGGAAACCGCCTCTGTGATCTAGTGGGCAGAGTTCCTGGCTACAGATCCAGAAGTCTGGGTTCGATTCTCGGCACTACCAGATTTTCTGAGAAGTAGTGGGTCTGCAACAGGGTCCACTCAGCCTCGTGAAGATAATTGAGGAGCTATTTCAAGGAAATAGCGGCTCCGGTCTAGAAAACCGAGATTAACGACAGTGAGGATTCGTTGCGCTGACCACGCGACACTCTTTATCCGCTAAAGTTGGCAATAACTTCGCCGACAAGTGGCGGTCGCTCGGTCGGTATAGTTCGCTTGCGGAATAAAGCCAAGGAGTTTTTTTTTATTTATTTTATTCCTAGTGTATTTAACGATTTGCTGAGCATGTAAGTATGAAGATAAGGCCCAGAACTTCATTCGGCAGGTTCTCTGTTCGTATCTTGGCTGGGTATCGGCTGCTATGACTAAGACATTTTGTGGATTTTCTCAGTTCTTCAAGACAAATGCCGGGATAGCACCTCGACTAGACCACAACCCCTCCCTTCCAAATCCTATACAATTCACTTCTCAGGTGTCATTCTATTGCCCGACGCTATATAATCTCTATACTGAAAATGTCCTTAAATAATTTATGAAAAGAAAAAATGAAAATGCTGTCAATAACTCTGACTTCATAGCGTCGACCACGATTATAGTGAATAATGAATTGGAAAGGACGCGAAAGGAAGCCATTACACTACAACTTAAAGGCTGTCCCTGCTTTTTTGTCTGGAGGGAAATCATGAAAAACCTCTGTCATGATAGTGGGTGCTTTGGCCTTTATTTGACTTAAGTAGTTCTCGAATACAATTTAGAGAAGGGTTACTGCATGAGCTAGCTTCGTTAGTGACACTTTCGCTTTTGAGTAAATAATAGTTACAGACAACATAAGCCATGCCATAGCTCAGGCGGTTAGTCGCCGGCTTCCCACGGCGGCGGCCAGGGTTCGAGCCCAGGTCAGGTCATGTGGGATTTGTGGTGAACAAAGTGGCACTGAGGCAGCTTATCTCCGAGTACGGCTTCCCCTGACACTCCTCATTTCGCAGACTGCTCCACATTCTTCGCCTATCATCCGCGGCTGAAATAACAGGCCAGTTAGTGGCCGATGCACTAAGTGGACTCAGTCTCACCTCAGCCCAAGAAACTAAATAAAACTACAGGAAATATTTCAAAATGTTCACTTAAAAGCAGAGTGCAGAAATTATACTGAAATGAAAGAAAATACAAAAATTTCTGTCCGCTTCTCTGAACAATTGTTGCGAATTTAACGAAGAAGGTATTTAATATTAGACTAATTAAATTTTTAGACTAATGGGTTGATTATTGAATTAATTAGCTAATGCAAACACAATATATACTTGTATTTCTACGCGTGTCTGTAGAAGCTGGACGTTCTCCTTCACGTGACCGCTAAAATTATTAATCGGTCTTCATTCAACTGAACACATATTCTTTCCAAATGGGATAAACTCATTACCAAACATTGTATATTTCCAAGACATCTATTATCACACAAACTGTACTGTTATATACACACAAATATGAAATAAAAACAGAAAATCATTTCAGACACCAGCCTAAATTACATAGGTACACATCTGGGGTTATAGAAACACAAGAAATTCTACGTCGGTGGTTCAGATAACGTAAGTGAACAGTAAAACATGCACGGAGAAAAATTATGATTTGGATGGAGAAAAAAATGCGAGATTCACACAATATTACGCACCTCAGCTCGGCTCTTCCCTGCCGCTCGAAAAAATGGCGGTTTTCTTCTCTCCATCGGCCCCTCTGTCAGATAAGGGGGCCCCTTAACTGACACCTGAAAGATAAATAACAGCAGTATAGAGCAAGCTTTTCATTGTGAATATTAGATCATTCACTTAAGTTGTAAATGTTACTAACGATAGCAAAACCAGAATATCGTCCTATACGTCAGTGTTTCTCAACCGCCGGGCCCTCGTCTTATAGAAAAAAAAAATACCGGGCCGCGGTCTGACAACAGCTGAGATCCACTGCTACAGGTTACAATAAGGCAGCGACGCTATGTTTCTTTCTCTTTCCTGCTGCTTCTCCTTTGGAGCGTATAACATTCCTGAAACGCGTTGTTTCACTTCAGTTTCTTAACCCTAAGGCAGTCGGTAGGACTCCTTTGACGGGGGATCGGCCCGTCGCAAGGCCGCTATCTATACAAACACAGAGTAACTGCACACACATATTGATGCCTTCAGTGGGATTCAAACCCACGATCCCAGTGTTCGAGCGAACGAAGACACTTCATGCCTTAGACCGCGTGGCCACTGTGATCGGCCTACGCCGCTATACGTCTACCTACACGTATGATTGTAACCACCTGGGATATATGCGTGCCTTGTAGCTCGGAAACCGGGATAGTCAAACACGCATCGGTTCCATTCCATGAGTAGACGACGCAGGTATTTCAATTTATCTTTTCTTGAGCTGGAAATTTGGGATCCTTCTGATATAAAGGAGCACAGGTTTTCACGAAAATTATTTTTCTCTTAAAGTTTCTATATCGTTAGGTAGGTAACATGGAGACAGAACGTCAAATACGGGACGAATAGAAAACTAACAGTCATTTATTATTACGGTATCAGAATCCGTGTATCTTATGCACAGTAGCCAAGAAAGAAAATAAACACAGTGTTCTGGAGGTTACAATAATGTTTCACAATTATAGAGAGACATGCGACTCAAAGATATTCTGTTCTTTTCTTCAAAAACTCCAAGGAATTTACTGTTCAGCTGAGCTACTGTTACCTTCTCAAGAAGAACTCTGCTAACTACAGTTAGTTATACTATAACCAGGCTCCCAACTAACTCATGGAGCTGAACCCTTCTTGAGAAACTGCCAGTTGTGCAGCTACTCAAGAACTTCCTAGCATTTTATGGAACCCGAAGTTTCAATACCGTGCTCACAAGAGCGGTCCCTATCCTGAGCAAAACCAATCCAATCCATACCATCCCATCCCATCCCATCTCTCTATCTCTCTAAGATACATTTTAATATTGTCCACCTGCCTAGGCCTTGGTCTTCCCAGTGGTCTCTTTCTTCCGGTTTTCTCACAAATATTCTATATGCATTTTTCCTCTCCCCCATTCGTGCTACATGCCCTGTCCATCCCATCCTTTTTGACTTGATTATTCTAATTATACCTGTAGAAGCGTACAGGTTATGAACCTCCTCATTAAGCAGCTTTCTCAAGCCTTCCGTCACTTCATCTCTTTTTGGTCCGAATATTCCCCTCAACACCCTCTTCTCAAACACCCTCACTCTATGTCCCTCTCTTAATGTTAGAGACCAAGTTTCACACACATACAGAACCACAGGCAGAATTATAGTTTTGTATATTCTAATATTTTTATGTTTTTAGACAGCAGACGAGAAGACAAAAGGTTCTGGACTGAATGACAGCGAACACAAGTCTCCCAGCCCTCATTTATACTGGCATATGAGACGGTGGTTGGATTTTCTGCGGAAGTTTTATTTCGCAATTTGAGATTCAAACGCATCTATGCTGTGCCATGAAAATTCCCTTCCGAGAATTGCATTCTTGTGCTTGTGGGAGACACTGGCGGCTGGCAGTGACATGCGTGGCGGAGAAAGCCATAAACCATTATAAGACATTAGGCAAATAAGATACATGCCAGTAAACTTGTCACAAGCAGGAAAACAAGAACTGCGCTTAGCTTCAAATCACCGTTATCGTACGCACATACCCTGACTGGGCTGCTCCAGTGGCCTGATGTTCAGAAGGTTCAGGATTCGACCCCATTGACATTAACCTCTGAGCCGAGATAGCTGCGAGTTGATTCCCCGCTGGTTCTTCCTTAGGGGAAGAAAAGTGGCTGGGGTGTGAATCTTGCCACTTGCATGCGTCTAGTTCCGAGATTAAGAATACGTAGAGATATACTTTCCCATGCGTCTCCATGTCATGGTGTTTAATAGCATAGAGGAAACTTACTGTATATACGTATCCCTATAGAAATCACCCGTTCTAACCCCGCTTAGGGCTTGTACTTTCGCATTCTTCTATATAGTCTTGTGATGACAACGACCTTCACCCTTGGAGTCCTGCTCCCTGTCCTAATATCCATTAGAACGTGTCTACGTACATGAAAGAAGGCCGAGATGCTGCAAGAATAAGGTTTTATACGTCCGTCAATAAAACACAGCAAAATACTGGAAAACTAACATATTTTGGAACGACAACAACAAATAAATATTATATTAGCGGCGAAATTAAGAGCAGATTCAATTCTTCGGTTCAGTGCTTGCTACCATATATATTTCAGAATCCCTAACTTCCTGCTGGTCTCTCATAACCACACTTGTGTACGTGTTTCTTAACTCATCAGAACTAGGGGTATCCTCAAAGAAAAATTATTTTAACAATGAGGGGAAAAGGACACCAGTCAAATGTACTACTGGAGAGACAGAAGTTAACATATTATTATGGATAAAATGAATACTGCGACGTGTAGACCCAGGTAACAACCATGTAAGCAGCTGACAGTACAAAATCCGCGCTGGTAGAGAACATCTTTGTGGAAACGTTTCCCAGGCAACGAGAAAACATGCTGTAATAGAGAAGACGCTTTCTGTGCGGTCCGTGTGCTATAAGACTGTCCAACTGTTCGTAACTTTGGCTTTCAGTTTGAGAGAATGGAAATCCGTGTGGAGGCGAGGTCGAATACCTCCACCCTGACCCTGCGAGACGTAGGAAGCGACGAGAAGGGAAATCTCAAATCTGAGAGTAAAATATGGTTGCGAGTCCAAGAGGAAGACTGCGCTGGCAAGGGCTAGCAGCATATGCAAAAGATAGACACGCCCTCCCGTGAGAGAGGGCACCCCACAAAAACAAGACCGTAACTGTCAAACAGTAATAAATATCTGGTCATAAGCTCCACATGGGGCTCGACACCAAGACTTACTGACTGAGAGTCAGTAGCAATGTGACTTTGATTTTGACTTTGATGTGGAGGCGAAATATAAGAAGCTCAAACTTGGCGGTGGTCAAATTTACGACCGTTCAAATGACTAAGCTACAGCTGCAGCGTAAGATACGTAACTTAGGCATGATCTACTCTGTAAAGCCTGTCCTGACAGGGGACTTGTATGTAGTGCAAAAGGAAGAATTTTCCATAACATGTGCGAAATATACCCTTCACGAAAGTCCAAGCGTATTCATAACAGACAGACTCATCTTCTCGTCAGAGAGGATGTTACATAAGACTTATTACCGCAAGAGTTCAGTTGGGGGAAAAAAAGTCTGATTGTGGCCCCCAAGGGGCCTGACGCCAAGACGAACTGATTGGCGGTAAACCGCCTGTCGTAAAGTAACTTTGACTTTGACTCTGACCTGGAGGAGTGTTCGAATACCTCCACCGTAGCCCTGTGAGTAGTAGGAAGCGATGAAAAAGGAAACCGGTACCTGGGGGTATAACTGGGGCACCCTATTCTGAAGGGATATAAATACGGGGACCTGGAAAACAAGGTTGAGGGAGTCTCGAATCTGAGAGAGTAAAATTTGATCATGAGAATGACCGCGCTAGCGTGTTCCAACAGCAATTGTAGACAGACCCATCCCTTCGTCAGAAGTATTCTTCCAATATTTGTCCAGTGGAGGGCGTTTCCAGTGACTCGGAAGATGAGGTAAGATCGAGCGATATCAGCATTCGAATGCTCAACATGTGAAGAGATAAGTACGTCAAGAGCAGGAAGAAAGCAAATAATATTCGTCATGATGAAGTTTCATGATACGGGAGCTGAAACGGTAAGAAATAAACCGCACTGGTCACGGTATGCAGGTAAGGGGATGCAAGACTTCCAGGAGGCACATCATAAGAAATAAGTTAATCTTCATTTTACTACTACTACTACTACTACTACTACTACTTGTTTTTTTCCTTGCCACTACAGCCCCAGTGGGCCTAGGCCTACCTCCATGAGCTCCGTTCACTTTCGGTTTTTCTAGATCTTACACATACGGTAGGACTCCTTGGGCGAGTGATCAGCTCGTCGCAAGGCCTCTACCTGTAGACAAACACAGAAAAACGCACACAAACATCCATGCCCTGAGTGTGATTCGAACCCACGATCCCGGCTTCCGAGCGAGCGAAGACAGTGCATGCCTTAGACCGCTCAGCTTACTACTACTACTACTACTACTAATAATAATAATAATAATAATAATAATAATAATAATAATAATAATAATAATATAGCACGTAGAGGCATTACTATGCAACCACCGTGAGATAAGCAAATATACCAGGGCCGTTACTAGGCAATGGCTTCATAAACACGTTCCCGCTGAAACGGATCCACATGCTACAATAACGGTACTATTGTAAACGGTGTTTTCTACTTGGTCCGTCCAAAGGGGTTATGAGGAGGACTCGACACCAAGATTTACTGGAGAGTGAGACAGATTGCCCGTGTGGAGGCGGTGTCGAATACCTCCACCGTGACCTTGTGAGTCGTAGGAGGCGACGGAAAGGCAAGTCTCAAATCTGAGACAGTAAAATATGGTCGCGAGTTTCAAGGGACTTGGACCCGAGAAAGACCGCGCTGGCAAGGGCCAAAAGCATATGCAAAAGACAGACCCGTCCTCTCGTCAGAAAGGGCGCCCCACAAAAATAAGACCGTAATTGTCAAACGGTAATAATTAATATCTGGTCATGAGCCCCACATGGGGCTCGACACCAAGACTTACTGACTGACTGACCGTCAGTAGCAATATGACTTTGACTTTGAAGATTTACTGACTGACTGACCGTCAGTCGCAATGTGACTTT